TATACATACATATATGTATATATATTCCATACAAAAATTATTATTCATAAAAACCTTTTTATTTTATTTTCAATATCTTTTGGAGAAAGAACAAGTGGTGTTTGTACCTGCAGATGTGTCAAAGATTGTAAATCTTGTAGCAGACCCATTTTCTCATTGCTGCTTGCCTTGATCCGCAGCACCTGCTCTCTGCAGAGAACAAATGTCCAAAGATTACTATGTATGACAGTTATACTACTGTATCTTGTTTACTTAAAGATGTGATTTAAAATACAGAATATTCTAATGTATCAACTTGTGCCAAAATGTATTTCCGTCTATTAAAATTTATAGACACTGACAACCATTCTTATACAGTATATTTTATATCACTTTTAACTCATAATATACAGCAATGGGTCACAACTAGAGATTACTGAACAATGAAAATTTTGCTGTGACAGTATTACACACAAAACATGCTCCTATAGGGCAATTACACTCTGTTGGCAAATTGGAAACAATTATTAGACATTTTGTAGGCTTTTTCCATTGTGGATTATGTTGTTTTGTCATTTTTCTCAGTGAAAACTGAACATTGCAAAGGAGCAACTCCCTAGAAAATGGAACATGTTTACAGTGTATCTGTTTTAGTTTTGGACAAAGTGGGGAAGAGTTAGATTTTCTGCCAAGGTTGTATTGCTACTGGGTTCACAGCTGCAGAGATTCACCCTCTGGCTTAGTAGTTAGCACTTCTGCCTTGCAGTACTGGGGGTCCCCATTTGCAATCCCGGTCAGGACACTATCTGCAAGGAGTTTGCATGTTCTCCCTGTGCTTGCGTGGGTTTCCTCCAGTTTCCTTCCACACTCCAAAGACATACTGGAAGCTAAATTGTCTCCTGTCTAAACTGGCACTGTATGTATGTGAGATGGGGACCTTAGAGTGTAATAACTGACTCAGCTTCTACGCACTAACGTAACGTGTAGAAGCTGAGTCAGTGACGTTAGAACGCCTGGAGGGAAAGAGGAGGACAGATCTAACATCCAGGAATGAGATTCTGATACGCGATTTTATTCATTTTTATGTGAGTGTATTCTTTTAAATAAATACATTTTATGCATACGGGGTGCGCTATGATTTCCACTTCTGTCTTTGAGAGATCTTTTTTGGGCTGTCGGCAGAGGAGAAAACCGTTAAGATCAGGATTTTTTCTCACAGTAGTATTGTTCACTATAATATTTGTTTTTTGCACATATTATTTGTTTTCTTGTTGGGTGATAGCGCCGCTTCACATATTTGGATGATTTGAATGCAGGCTCATGCAGCCAATTTAAGTGAGCAGCTGTAAGGAGTAACACCCAGTTTTTTCGTAGATTAATCAAGCGCACTACCCCTGTAGATAATTTAGCATTTTAAATATATTCTGTTCTGATAATCCCCTGAGACTTTGAAACATTCATATATGAATGCTCTAAATACATCTTTTAGAGCCAATTGGTAAAGTATTAATAATACTCTATGGCATGCACCTTAAAGTGACATTAAAGTCAAAGTTTTTTTTCCCCCTTCCCAATCCTGCTGTAGGGAACTAGCTTAAATGATGCCTCTTAATCCAATTATCTTCTTCTTTACTGTCCTTTTCAGCTGTGCCTCCAGCGCTGGTGCGGGTCTCCGATCCAGTGCTGACTCCTCTGTCCTCCTTTTCTCTCATGTCCCACGAAGTCTGTGCGGGTGCACGCTGCTCCATAGACTTACCTTGTGTCTCTCCTCGTCTCCCGGCCGAACATCTGAACAATGCATGTGCCCACCCCAAGATCCTTTGCGGCCGCCCGAGAAATTTTCAAATGTTCAGACGGTGTTTTATCGTTTTGCATATATCTACTGCTTGCTAGCAGTAGATATATGCAAAAACATGTGAGGGTTTAATAACCCTTCAACATATCTGCTCCCTCCTTTACAGTATTCCCCTGCTAAACGTAATCCTACAGGGCTAAGTGCACCATCCTATGTGACAGCATGAGGGCCTGCTCATTGGCCACTTGGGCTTTCTGGAGGGGGGCAGGCAGATTTGTGGGACAGAAATATACACAGCTTTACTTTTAAATTGTTACATTCTTCGTAGTAAAGGCTTACTTTAAACTGCAGATAAAGTTTCAGTGACTTAGTTCACAGTAATGTGTATTATAACACTTACAGGGTTATTCACAAAAGAGTGAAGAGTTTGGAGAAGGCAGGGGAAGTGAACACTCTAGGACAACATAGCTTATTTGGAAAAATTCTTTAATTCAGCTCACTTTCCAGTTCAACTATTTTGTCCTAGAGTGTTCACTTCTTCTGCCTTCTCCAAACTCTTCACTCTTTTGTGAATAACCCTGTTAGTTTTTCTTTAGCTGTGATTTCTGGCACATTTTCCAAAGGGATGACTAGTACCATATGTTGTTAAAGTATACAATGGTTTTTGCTCACACTGCCTCATAGAAAAAGCGGGGCATTCTCTTTCCTATGCAAGGCAAGCTGCATGCAAAAGTGCATCTTCAGCAAGTTAAAATGTGCTGCCATACATGAAAAGCTGCATGCCAAGACATGTACACTAAAAGCACAAAAGTGATGCTACATGTACAAGCTAATGGAAAAGAAAATATAGCAGTAGTAGTTCATTCAAATAAAGGGAACTAAGATGTACTCCTGTACCTTGAGATACCTATTTTTTGTTTTATTTATTCAGTTATTACAGGTTATTTTATAGCGCCACCAATTTACGCAGCTGTACATTGTGCTCTTAAAGTGTATTTACAATTTTGCAGTCAAATGTGAGAAAACAACACTCCATGTTTTGTATGTGTTCATATTCACACACCATGCCTAAAATAATTTTTAAATAAATATTTCTTTTTTTTTAAATGTTTCTTTGGTGAAGTCCTCTTTGCAGATTCCAATCTATGCTGAACAGTTTGAAAGTGAAAACAGAGAGACAAACTGAGGGACAGATGGAGATTATCTCATTAACATACAATGCTTCTAAGACTTTAACCCTTTGTTTGGACAGAACGTGTTCAAATGCAGTTTACAGCTGATAATGAAATCTGTCAGCACAGCACAGACAGGGTAAATTAAAGTAAACCTAACTTCAAAGAGCCCCCTCTTGACCATTACATAGGGGAGAAGCTAGGTATGAGTTTTAAGCAAGTAAAAAGCACTTACAAATGTAAGTAACTTTTAGGACCGGTTCACAACATTTGCATCTGGGATGCGCTGGCCATTTTTTCCAGTGTAGCCTGAATGCAAGACAAGACAATTTGTCTGAAACATAGACCATTAATATAATTATAAAAACAGGAAGAAAAAGTCTATTGCTTATGTTGTCTTCAACGTTCTAACGTCTACAAAAACAGCAGCTGAAATCTGCTTGTGTGTTGTGTGTAACAGTGTAACCATTCTATGTTTCATTTTATACAAATCTATAACAAATCTTACACTTTGTAAGATTTGTTATAGGACACCTCTTCCAGACTAATCTACGACGTATGTTTATTAAACTCTACAAAAATGCAAACATTTCAGAATTTTAGCTTGGACATGTCCACACTATCATTTACCATACTTACCCTACAAATGTTTTCTCAGATAGAACAGCTGCCACTAGGGCAGTGAGGAGCAGGAGAAGTTTCATGCTGGAAGCTGGGAATCCAGGAGAGTCAGTGAAGGGTATTTATGTGAAGAAGGATGGATACCAATGCGTACCAAAGAGTGAGAAGCTACAGATGGTTCACTTATCTCAAGGCTAGCCTAATGATACAAGGCTTATTTACTGTACAGCACTTGGCATCCTTTTATTTGTCTGATGTAACAATTGGAGTACACGTACAACAGAATACATATTCCTTATTCGTAACTGATTTGTATAAATCCATTAGGTAGTGGAAATATGACATGGACATGTGCTTTGTCAGACCTGTATATATAAAATGAAAAATCTTATTTAGACACCAGTAAAAATGTTAAAGAACTATTAAATCTAGAACATGGTAATGGCAAACAATCAACAATACAGCAAAGCACAGTGCTTATCTTCCTTTAGGAAACTTGTGAATGATAAACATGTGTTTAAAGTAAATTGGGAAACTATATTAAGTGTCTGAAGCCAAAATGCCATGTGGTAAAATTCCTCTGCAAACGTTCAGCCATTAGTTTAGACACAATTAAAGGATAATCGTTGACTGGTCTCTCCGCTGCTATTTTTATGCTGCTTTGATATTTTTAGAAGTGCCTGTTAAAGAAGCTGGATTTTTTTTCTACATATACATGTACTGTATATAGATATTGTGGCATCCTGAGGACCCCTACTATGAGCTATGTGTATTGCAACTGTAATAGAGGAAGCTTGTTGATACTAAAAGAAAGTGCTGGAAGTTTTCTCAGACAGTCAGCTAGGGTCAGTGGAAGTGGCCTGGGGCAGAATACCTTGGAAATCCTCATTTGGTTTACACCAACTTGGTTATAATATCACATTGGAGAAGCTAGTAAAAAATGAGAGCTATGCTTTGCTAAGGGGAGTGTAATGGATTCCCTGCCGGGACAATACCATATAGATAAGATTAGCAATGGCTGAGTTGATCCGAAATAAACCTAAACTAAGAAGCATGTGTATTCTTACTTGATATATGGCAAAACCAATGGAGCAATCTTAAAGTGAATGAGTGTGTGAGCAAAAAAAGTCATTAAAGGGCCTGGTCATGTGACATATCATAATAATGTGACCAGACTCACCTCCTCTTTGTGCTGTTAAGCAAAAGAAGCTCCATAAGGTACCGCAGGCTCCACACTGCGGTCAACATTTTATGAATAGACCACAAAATGCAGGCCATGGTGTTTGTAACCTTGCTTAGTATAATGTAGAGTAGAATGTGATATTGGCTATGTGTTATAAATGGGTCCCAAAAGACTGTAAAGAGCATTATGATTCAAAAGACATCTATATAGCTCAAAAAACATCAGGGACATTGTGTAAGAGATTTACTGGGATGTAGCTCCTTGGCTTTATCATTTGTTCGAAGATTTTCTGAACGCCTCTTTGGATCAGCTGACCAAGGGATGCTGGTCGCAAGGGTGCCAATAGCGGCACCCACTGTGCGAAATTCTAATAGTGTATGGCCAGCTTAAGCTAGTTCAGACCTTCAGTGGCTGCAAAGGAGAAAAGCAGACCGTTATAGTGCCCACTACCTGAAATACGTTGTAATTTTCAATGGTGCTGTGCCGTACTGGCATCTGTGGATTCTTGCCAGATTGACCCTCATACACATAGGATGTACTGTATATGAGGTCTGAGGAACTGAAGTTTTTTTTAAAATGTAAAATTATATATAAGGGGTGCACCGATACCGATACAAGCATCGGTATATGCGGCGATACCGAGTATTTGCATGAGTAATCGTAGTCGTGAAAATACTCCGATACAAAAAATGAGTACCTGTGCCGCGGCCGCCAGCTTCAGGGACCCGAAAACTTCTCCCCGGGCTGCGGGACACGTGTAAAGAGGTAGCTGATTTGCTGCTGTCAAGAGAGCTGCTGAGGTTGTGGGGGATAGCAGCAGACATCAACAATGAACAGAGTGGACACATGGTCATAATAATCTGGCCACTCAGTGTATATACAGTATATATATATATATAGTATATGCAGGGTAGTGGGGCTGGATTGGGGATTGCTGTATGCCAATCTGCCACTAGATGTCCCCACAGGCAATACTGAGTGACTGAGGTAGTCACTGTAGAATTAAAGGTTGCTCTGCCCTGAGGGAGCTCTACGTCCAAGGAGAGCCACATATATAGTTTTGGGCTGGGTAGCCGTCCAGAAGAATAATAAGAAGGGAGAGTTCAGGTGGACAAGAGGGACAGAGTGATTTACAGAAGGATGGTCCATGGGAAGGCACAGTGCCGGCCTGCCACCATGTAGTTGCTGTGGATATCGGTCAGCTTCCCCTAAGGGGGGAAGCAAAGCAGGACTGGAGCAGCACTAATCTTATGGGACTACTCGCATCACTTTAGGATGTAGGACTCTGGGCAATACCTCTCCATTGGCTCTGGGCTACACCTCGACTAACCTCCTCTTTGCTATCTGTTGGTAACTTATTCCTGTGTGCTCGAACAAGTAATGTACAGTCATCAGTGAATTGGATGACTGAAGCCTGTATGATATTGTACATAAGAAGATGTTTAAGTAAAAGTTACAAAAGGCTCTCTTTGTGTGAACTGATCCTTCCCCCAACCTCTAAGATGGGGGGTTTCTCCAGAAAGCGAACTTGCGGTGGGCTGGACTGCTGTTGTAAGAATGTAAAGTAGTGTATGTGGGGAGAGATGCCTTGAGAGCTCTGTGTTCAAAGTATTCCAGGGATCTGAGCCACTACAAAGGTAGCCAGGGCAACAAAGAGTTAATGGATGCCTGGTGCTGCACAGCTGAAACGCGTGAAATGCCCGCAGACCAGCACACGAACACTGCTGGGATCAATAGGTGGATCCCGCTACACAACATATATATATAACATTTTTTTAAATCCTCAGCTGTAGATCCTTAAATCATCTCTGAATTGGTCCCGACACTGGCCTTCCTTCCTGGAGGGTGGCTACTTTTGTTCCTCATGGTCCCTGTGTTGTAAAGTAGCCACTCTCCAGAAAGAAGGAAGGGCAGTGTCAGCACAAATTCAGAGATGATTTGAGGACCTATAGCTGATTGATACAATGGTAGAGAATGGGAAGTGATGACAGTATGAGGTGTGATGGAGTCGCAGACAGCCATGTGTGAAATGGCCGGGTGATTGTGTGTGTTGTAGAGTCTCTTCCCAGTGCTGTGTGTGGAGCGTCAGCTGACAGGAAGCATCAAGTGATCAGTATTCAGTGTGTGACAGAGCCAGACAGGTTCGGGTTGTGCTGAGCTCTATGCAAGTGGCTAAGATGGGTCAGGGATGGCAGCCAGCAGGAGCTGCAGTCCATGTGGGATGGAAGGCAGCAGGTAAAGTATCTGTGATGACAGGAATGGGCAGGGAGTGGTGATGGGGCCTGCTGTGCTCCATGACTGACAGGACCGGGGAGAGAGAAATAATGATCGTTGCTGTGTTCCAAATTTGTTAGAGAGATTTTGTTAGAGAGATGTGATGTAGACATGTGCACCAGCAAAAAATTCGTTTAGTTTGGTTTCGTTTTGAAAAAAAAAAAAAATTCGTTTAGTTTAGTTTCGTTTTGAAAAAAAAAAAAAAAATTCGTTTAGTTTAGTTTCGTTTTGGAAAAAAAAAAAAAAATTTTTTTTTCTACCCCCTGGTAACCGCCGAGGTGGTGGGGGGAGGAGGGGGGGCTTTCATGGTTTATTGCACTGGGACCTTGAGTTTTCTAGCTACGCCTCTGCTTCTGAGTTTAGTTTTACTTTAAGCTTTTTGAACTATTTTATTTTCTGCTGTTTATTGATTTTTAACTTCTGTACAAAGATGTGCTTCTTTTTGTAGCAACAACTCAACAGCGTTTGTCTGCTATTAGTGCTTCATGATCAACAGAACTTCATACCAGACGTTTATCAAAGAATTTGTTTACTTACACATTACTTCGCATACACGCAGTTAATGTAAAACAATATTAGATGCTAGGTCCATTTTAACCACTTGCTGACCGGGGTGTTAAACCCCCTTCCTGGCCAGTCCATTTTTCAGTATTCAGCGCTGCAGTACTATCAATGACATTTATTCAGTCATGCATCGCTGTACTGAAATTATTTTTATATTTTCTGGGGACAGATAGAACTTTTTTTTGGTGGCATTTAATCACCACTGGGGCTTTTATTTTTTACTATATAATAAAAAAAGTTCTTAAAATTTTGAAAAAAAACCCTGTTTTCCCGAAGTTATGTTATAAAACATTTATCAGCACCCAATTTCTTGGTAAAATATAAAAGATGGGGTCACGTCGAGTAAATAGACACCAAACATGTCAAGCTTTAAAATTGAGTGTGCCCACGAAATCGCAAAAAACTACCATGCCTAAAATTGAGCATAGCCGACGCTTTAAAAGCTTTTACCGCTCATCAGTTAAGTGTTATCAGAGATTGATGGCCCTAAAATGATTGCTCTCACTCCCACATTTGCAGCGATATGTAACATGTGTGGCGTAATTGTTGCTTTCTCATGTAGGCGCACCCGATGCGTATTTATGTTTATGCGTGCGTGTGCACGGGGGACTTAGATTTTTTGGGTGTTTTTTATTTTTTTTTAAATATGAGACTTTAATTTTGTTTTCCTTTTTTTTTTTACACTTAACTTTATTGCTATCACATAGGGGGCTAACAAGCTCCCTACGTGATAGCCAATATAAAATGACGGCTGCCTCTAAGACCCCAAATCAGGGGTCAGCAACCTGCGGCTCCAGAGCCGCATGTGGCTCTTTCTCTGCCCAGGGAAAGTTAGCCCTGTAAGCACTTCGTAGGAAGGTACCAACAGCTCAGGGGGGGGGGGGGGGGGGGGGACACTAGTGAGGTCCGGTTCTGGGCACCCCCCCTGGTGGAATATGCGCCAGTGCAGGGTCTATGGTGTGCTCTGCAGGGTCACTCTCAGGTGGGCTCTGCGGGGTCTCAGGTAAGCCCTGAGTTCAGTGCATTAAGAAGCCTGAGTCCAGTGCGTTAAGAAGCCCTGAG